AGGAAGGCTAAGCAACTCTTCCTTGCAAATCCGACCGGCAAAAGGCCCAGGGGACGGCCAAGATTAACCTTGTTTTTGTTTATTTGTAATATTTGTAGTTACATAACATTTTTCGAACACAGTTATAAATGGACCAGATATTACCGACTGCCTTTTAACCTTTGATAGCTAAAGGCAACAAGGACAATGGCAATTACTTGAGAAAACATGTTGACTAATGAAAAATAGCATTCTCTGATCATCTAAATTAGTGGAAAAATCTGTCGTTTCGAAAATTAGTCTCCAGGTTTGCAACAGTTATTGTTTCTGCCATTCTGCAACTTCCACATCTACTGCACAAATGGTCTTTCATTTAATAATTCATAAACGCAAATTTAAAAAAAGTTTTTACACGTATTTGCGAAAAGGGGTGGATATTACTTAACATCGTCAATAAAGAACCCGACAACATCCAAACGGAATTACAAACTTTGCCAGTCCATGAAATGCCCTGGCAAACAAAACTGTCCCCAAAACATTCATAAATATCGAATCGTAAATTAAAAAAACGCTTAAAGGAAAAACTGACACCATTCTGTAGAGGAGAAAAATCTCTTCAGCCATTGAACAATATTCTGTATATCTAGAAAAGTCGTACCTCATCTGACGAAGTATAACTGAGTCATAAACACAGAGGTGCCCATTGCTTAAGGGCAGGCCGTGGGGTCCTGTCAAGGTTCAGTGCTGTAACAGCCGCTTTCAATCCATATTTCTGGACATTGGTCATCTGAATCAACTATCTGACTCATTTTTCAGCACTTCATATATCAGTGAGGCGCTCTCTATGGGTGAAGTATGATGCCGTTGTCGAACCTGTGAATTTCTAATTACAATTTCATTTCGTGTCTGACGACGGTGGACATCAAAGTATACCGTGAGTATGTCAGCGTGCACTCATGCGGTCGTTAGACCGAATCTGCATCATTGGCAAATGATCATCTGCAAAAATTACTTGACCTCAACCATCAGTGGAAAGCTCTCTGCGAGTACAGTACTACTGCCACCGTCAGACGCGAAGATTTCGATCATGATTTCCTCCAAGCGGTAACCACAACACTGAGCGCTGACAGCAACCAGCTACCTACGCCAAAACGTTCCACGCCGCTGGCAGGTTCTATCGATCAATGAAGAGTCGCATGTAGGATTCAGATCTTCCAAGGCAAAGTTGTTCCCCAGTATCCAAACGTCCGGCGCAGCCAAGAACTGTGAAGAGAGCGATGACCACAA